CTTTTCATTCATTGGCTCCTCTGGTTCTGGTAGCTCTTCTATTCGATCACATAAGATATTATAAGATGTTTATTAGGTACTTACAGGCCGTTGCCCACTGTACATATATAGGCATCATATACATGTATGACATAAACATTTAATACAAAGTGCATAGCATGAAAATTCAAAAGACAAAACAAAAAAAAAACCCAAAACAGGAATAATACTATGTCGCGATACCACAGTTCATCATAGATCATAGGGTTAACATTTGTTGTCTCGTAAACAAACCTTTTTTTAATAAAAACAGCTGTACATGTACGTTTGAGAACATTTTTGTCTTTGCTATTAAAAAGCTGATCAATACATACTGATACATCTCTTCCTTGTGATGGACAATATTGCGACAAAAAATTTCTTCTCAAATCTCCCAACATCGGACAATAAAAAAGAAAATGTATTTCATTTTCAGTTTGTCTCAGGTTACATAGTTGACATAGTCTATCTACACAGTCAATGCCCTCAAATCTACCCTTTTCAATACGTAGTTTATGTAAAGAAGCTAATACCTGTTTTAGGGGGTAGCTTAGAAAGGAGAGGTAGCTCTCACATGCAAGCTGTTTTTTGAACATAGTATAGAACGCACATTTTGGCGAATCTGTTAATTGTGAATTCCAGTCTTGTAGAGCACAGACTGACAGCCGTTGTTTTAATTCTGACAGAAAAGCCTTTGGATCTCCAGGTCCACCTCTTAGCCAAACATCCCCGAAGCCGTAAAGATTTAAAACTGATTTCAATTTAGATACCCAGTTTGGTGTTAAACGGTTACTGCACAAATCCAAATTGCAAAGCATCTGAAAACACTGCCTTGGATATCTTGAAGTTTCCATTTCTTGTAATTTTAACCAGTATTTCACTGGTTTCATCATGTAAGTCACACACAGTGGATGTCTTCCACATTCTCCTTTGGCCATTATATTGGTGGCTTTTCTGTTTATTCCCAATATCCACTTGCAGAAGTTGTTCTGTACAGCTTCAATCTCTTCGATAACATCTGTTCCCCAGACTTCTGCCCCGTATGTTAGGACCGGAACAATAATACTATCAAAAAGTTTGAAACACACACTAAGTTCACGGTTATTCAAATTGTTCAAGGTGTGCTTCAATATATTTAACGCTTTTCGTGCCTGTAGTGCCAGTAACTTGCAGCATTGGGACCATTTCAGTCTATAAGGGAATGTGATACCAAGATACTTGTAGTAGGATTCCACTTCTCAAGGTTGTCCGTTAAACACCCATTTTTCTGTACCTGCAGCTGCTCCGCCTCTCTTGATAACCAATACTTTTGATTTGTCCATATTTACTGTTAAGTTCCATTTTGAGCAAAACTTTTCAAGTATATTCAGTTTTCTCTGTAGGCCGTTAACTGTATCTGATATCATAAGAAGGTCGTCAGCAAACAGGAGGGCAATTATGCCCAATATTTGGTCTGTAATGTATATTCCTTGACACTGCGACTCACGTAGCATCTCTATGAATTCATTTATGTACATCGAAAATAGCCATGGGCTTAATATACAACCTTGACGAACACCAACATTACATGTAAAATATTCAGTGGTTTTGTTTCCAATCTTAACGCAGCTCAATACACGCTGATAAATCGACTGTAATGTTGTAATCATCTTTCCATGTACACCTTTATTGATAAGACAATAAAATAATTTTTTACGGTCGATGGAGTCAAATGCTTTTGAGAAGTCGATAAAAGCACAATACACCTTCCCACGTTTTTTAGCTCACCTGAGCCGAAGGCTCAAGTGAGCTTTTCTGATCAAAATTTGTCCGTTGTCTGTCGTCGTTGTTGTCGTCGTAAACTTCACATTTTCATCTTCTTCTCAAGAACCACTGGGCCAATTTCAACCAAACTTGGCACAAAGTATCCTTGGGTAAAGGGGATTCAAGTTAGTTTAAATAAAGGGCCACGCCCTTTTCAAAGGGGAGATAATTATGAAATAGTGAAAAAATTAATGGCATTTTAAAAAAATCTTCTTCTCAAGAACCACTGGGCCAGGAAAGATGAAACTCATGTGGAATCATCCTCAGGTAGTGTAGATTCAAGTTTGTTCAAATCATGACCCCCGGGGGTAGGGTGGGGCCAAAATGGCCGATCATTTAAATAGGAATATATAGGAATTTTTTTAAAAAAATCTTCTTCTCAAGAACCACTGGGCCAGGAAAGATGAAACTCATGTGGAATCATCTTCAGGTGGTGTAGATTCAAATTTGTTCAAATCATGACCCCCTGGGGTAGGGTGGGGCCAAAATGGCTGATTAAAGTTTTACATAGGAATATATAGAATTTTTTTTTTTAATCTTCTTCTCAAGAACCATTAAGACAGGGAAGATAAAACTCATGTGAAATCATCCCCAGTTAGTATAGATTGATTTTTTTTAAATTTTTTTTTTACCCCCGGGGGTAGGGTGGGGCCAAAATGGCTGATCAAAGTTTTACATAGGAAAATACAGGAAAAATCTTTAAAAATCTTCTTCTCAAGAACCACTGGGCCAGGAAAGACGAAACTAATGTGGAATCATCTTCAGGTGGTGTAGATTCAAGTATGTTCAAATCATGACCCCGGGGGTAGGGTGGGGCCAAAATGGCCGATCAAAGTTTTTCATAAGAATATATAGGAAAATCTTTTAAAATCTCCTTCTCAAGTACTTCAAAGCCATGATTAGTGATATTTATATGAAATCCTCCTCAGGTAGTGTAGATTCTAGTTTGTTCAAATCATGACCCCTAGGGAGTTAAGATTTAAGCCCCCCCCCCCCCTTCCAAACTCAGTAAACTTTCATTTTTGATCTGATATTTGCTTTTTCCTAGCCGGTGTGCTCAGGTGAGCGCTGTGGCCCCTGGGCCTCTTGTTTGTGATGTATTTCTGCACTATAGATTGTAGCTTCCTTAGGTCTCTAAGAATCTTTGGACATCTCTTATAGACTTTATATTGGATACTGTTGGGAACTGGTGCTGACGGTGTTATAGCTTTCTTAAAAAATATCTTGCATTTCTTTCAATGATGGTTCCTTTTCATTCATTGGCTCCTCTGGTTCTGGTAGCTCTTCTATTCGATCACATGATCCTAAGCATTTCCACTGTGTTTCTTTTAAGTAATTCTAAACCTCCTCCGTAGAGCTCTTAGGTGCCCCTGACTTTGCACCTTCAAGGGTTGATTTTGTAAAATCTGTATAGGTCTGCTATAAACTTTCCCCTCTTCTTCCTTCTCTCTTGTCTGGCTTTCCTTATTCTCTCTGCTCTCTGAAGATTGTTCTCTTTTAGAGTTGCTTTTAACTCGCTGAGCCCTTTTTTCTGATCTTCATTTTCTGTTTTTTACTGTTTTGTATCTCATGCTCGCGTCTGTTTAGTTTTCCTTTTGGTTCCTCCCTATGCTTTCTCTCTTTGGTTCCAAAGCCTATATATAATACACTATCGTTACGTAGTCAATGATGTTATCTTCCTCTGCGCATCACCTACCAATGTGCTATGTAGGATTTTGTCTAGGTCATTGTCAAATGATTCCCAGCTTTTGTCGTCAGTTGATAGCCACTGTAATGCTGGTTTCCTATTGTCATTAGAAGGTTCTGGGGTTATCGTGTGTCCGCTTTTCTTGTCTGGTTCTGGTTCCATGCTGATCCGAATAGCATCAGTTGGTAAAATGTCCTCAGTACTGCTGTGTTCATTCTGACTGTGGTCCTTTTCCCTTGTCTGACCTTAGCGTCCTTCTGTTGCTTCTCATGTCTATACATCTAGCATAATAACTTCTTGTTAATTCTGTCGGTATTCTTGTTAATGTCTGTTGGACCAGCAGAATCGTTGTCGATCGTTGAATCCATGCTGGGTCTTTCATTCCAGTCTTCCCTGGATGCCACCTGTCTCACCAGGCGTCACCATTCTATTACTGGTTGTCATGCAGCCAGTCTTTCATAGATGTCACTGATTGTCAAGTTGAATTGATTGATTGATTGTATGTTGTTTAACGTCCCTCTCGAGAATGGAAAAGTTACTTACATACAGCTGTCATGATACTGTTGCTAAACCATCAACGTCTCCAGGTCATCCCTCAGTAATAAGTACATTAAAAGATATGCTTTGGTTCCAAACCACACTTAGACAAACTTAGCTTGCAAGAATATTGTTCTTGTTTGTCGGACTCATTATTATATTTTAGAACCTTTAATAAGTGCATGATAAACCTAAAATTAATAGATGTGTATGGAAAAACTTTGTCTAAAACTCTACATCTGGAAATCTTATTATATATTAATAAATCACTTTCTTAGGTTCTTAACTAGCTATAGGATCAATTTTTAAACCGATGCACGAAAATGGAAGACAAGTTGATGTTACACGGATTTCAGCAATCTTGTTTATAATGCAGCTTTTCGCGAATCCCATGCATGTCATTGTATTGACTTTGTTAGAAACTTTGCTTAATAACTTACCACTGGGTCGTACCTTAATATATATATTTCATGACAGGCACTAGAACTTTGTTTTAATATTAAATTTGATAAGGGAATACCTGATGAATGCATGGCGGGTGTGACGGGGGGGGGGGGGGGGCAAAAGACGCTTACTCCCTCTGAGCAGTTGATCCTATTTCTGGAATTTCATCAGACCTAGCTATTCACAGAATTGTGTTCGTTTTCTATTCTTTTTAAAAATTTTTTTTGCATCTATCACTGTTTATTATCTTCATTTTTTCATCTTAATTTATTTGCGGACAGATCAATTATATGTGATTTTGGTGCAATAAGTTTGCCATAATTTTGGTATTACAAAAATTGCTAAAAGTTCTTTCGGGTTTTTTATTAGCCATCCTGATTAACTTCACTTGACGAATATTACTGTTCATAATATCGTGAGCATCAGCTGTGTCTGGTGTGGAGAAAGAGAGAAGAGATCGGGATCGATATTTCTTACAGTTGCATATTATCGGAAATACTCGGGGTTTTTCCTTGAAAGAGGTTGTGTTGAATTGTATTGAAAACAATTTTTGGCGGCTGTTGAAGGTTAAAGACTTAGATCTGAGTATATATTGCATTTATTTTATGAAACTTTGTTTATAATTGTTTCACCGTTGTTGTAAAGATAATATAGCTTTACATCAATTGTAAATCATGTGTATTTAAGTAGTTCATTGTTGAGCAATATCTGACAAGACCACGTGTTTTTAATAATCAATATACCAGCTGATTATTTTTGTGCATCTGTAATACCAAATCAGATTCGTTTATGGACTTCTGTTTTCTAAATGCTTTTAATGTACCTTGTCCTTGTAAAAACAAATTGAATTAAATTGCTTTTTTGAGGAAGTTATTTGTGAACCACATTATAAGCATGTCACAGTTGACTGACAGCACATGCTCTACATCAACACGTACGTGCTAATCTCATAAAGCCTGTTTAAAAACGGTAGATAAGTAACCCACTGTATAAAACTATGAACATTATTGAAAAATGGGGGATTGAAATCCTTGACCAGCTGTTGACTAGGGGATTGAAATCCAGTTATCCTTTATTACAATTTGTATGCGAGTGTATAACAAAGAATGTTTTTGGCACAGGGGACGGTAACATACTATTTTTGATTTTACGTAATCACTATATATATATACAAAAAAAAGGAAAGGGAAACAACGTCAGCCCGAATTTACACAGGGTCGATCTTGGAAATATTTCGTATTTCATAGAAAAAAGAATGTAGCCAATTAAATTATAACTAGAAATCATACTACAATAAATATTCTTTAATAAAACAGAAACCTCATTACTTTTTATAGCGTTTAAGTTGGGTAATACTAACTCGATATCCCGTTGTGCGAGTCGACGTACTTTAAGTCGTCCACTAAAACGAGGCAAAATTCGCATATTTTCTCCAGTTTTGAAGTCTTTCCGGAGATGGAAAACACAAAGTAAAGATCCAGCATTCACGAAAATCATCTTTTTCTTTTGTTTATTGCAATTAAAAGGTACAACATCTCCGATTTGAATAAATACGGTAGCTTTTTTCGTTCACAGAGAGGCTCGAGCCTAGAACAGACGACATTTTGGAAAAACCCATGATTGGTAAAAGGCGTAGCGTGATTGGTCAGATCTGTTCCAGAAAAGCACCATTGACCAATCACATCTCGCGTTAAATATTGGAGCTATGTTTTAGCGAATTTAGTGGACGACTTAAACTACATCACTTGTATGACTGGATATCGGATCTGCAAAACACAACTTACACGATTCTTAAATGACCACGATGGTATTTTTATTAAAGAGTGATTATTACTGAATGATCCCCGACGTTATTTCACTAACTGCAAGGTATTTTATTGAAAACACGAGTCATTTCTGAGATCGACCCTGTGTAAATTCGAGCTGACGTTGTTTCCCTTTCTCTTTTTGTATACATATAGTGATTACGTAAAAGCAAATACAGTATGTTACAGGCCCCTGTGGTTTTTGGTAGGTGACATATCAGTCTGAGTCATATTCTCATACTTAAGGCCAAGCTTAAAAAATTCTTTGTTTGCAGTTGCCGACCTATAATTTTTAGAGTGGGTCGGTAGGCAGGTATGGTTTTTTTTTTTTTTTTTTTTTTTTTTTTTATACAGATTTTAGTTATAAAGTTTTTGTTGGATTACAAGCCTTAGATTTTCAAAGGGTTATTTTATGTAAATAAAGGTCACCTTATTTTATGCCACTTATCGACAGAAACTAAAATTTAACAAATTAAAAATTCAACAAGTTTCAACATCCTTAAAATTTGAAACTTCCAAAATAATTTCTCAAATAACGGCTCAAAAAAAGTTTGTGTCGGGTGCAGTTTTAGTGGGTCGGTCGGCAACTGCAAACAAACCATTTTTTATTTTAGGCCTAATTTTAAAGCTATTGCTTTGTTCTTCTACGTTCATGTGTATTTTTGTAAAATTGTAAATCTTTGTAAATATTGTATGATTTTTGATATTTTATGTATGGGAGAGGACTATCTAAGTTTTTGGAACTTGTGTTCAATGCCTTTGACATGTTGTCAATAAAATATGTTCAGAACAAAAAAAACTTAATTTTTCAGAACTCTGGCTTCCATCGTAAAAAGCTTTACAGCCATGAAGTATGTGTTAGTGTCGGGCGGGGTGATCAGTGGAATTGGTAAGGGGGTCATCGCCAGCAGTCTGGGTATGATCCTCAAGTCCTGTGGTATCAGGGTAACCTCCATCAAGATTGACCCCTACATCAACATAGACGCCGGAACATTCTCTCCTTATGAACATGGTTTGTTTTCCGCTCTAATCAAATTATTATCATGTTACCTTAAACAAATATTACATGCATGATTTTAAAAATAGCAATAAGAAAACAATATACCTGTATATGAACATTAAAAGCCTTGCTTTAACATATGTCCATGAGTTCATGCATCATGTGCATTAGAACAATACTGTGTAATTAATTAGGTATTTATGATTAATGCCTTGTTTTTAACATGCCAGGTGAAGTTTTTGTTCTGGATGATGGTGGAGAGGTTGACCTTGACCTTGGTAACTATGAGAGATTCCTAGATATTACTCTTCACCGTGACAACAACATCACCACAGGCAAAATTTACCAGCATGTTATAAATAGAGAGAGGAGGGGAGACTACTTAGGGAAAACTGTGCAAGGTAAATCTCTTTCACTTGGAAGCATTGTTGTGTGGATTGTAAAATAATAATTGGGAGGCATGCTGCCACATGGTTCAAGTATTTCTGTGGGTTATTTATTGGACTTTTGTTCACTTAGCACTCTTGTATTGAGATCCTTGCTAGAGTGTCTTGTTTTTCTTTAAAATATTAAAGAAGCCTTTTGTCATAATGATCACTACTGAATATGTTTATTTTGTAGTTGTCCCACACATTACTGATGCTGTCCAGGAGTGGGTAGAACGAGTTGCTAAGATACCAGTAGATGGGGATAATAAGACACCAGAAGTCTGTATCGTAGAGGTATAATAGACATTTTCCACCATTGACGCCATTGGCTTGTTTCTCTTTGTGAATGCCTACCTTGCAAACTTGTTAACTTTAATTTGTGATTTTCAACCAAAAACTAAGAATTTGGAGTTTATAATTCTTCATAAATTCAAAATGTATTGAAAAATTATTTCTTGATATCATGATTTAAGTTGGAAAAAAAAAATATTGTGTTTTTCTATTTTTCTTGTTATGTGTGACACTGAACACATAAGGTATGAATGACTTATTTCCAGCTGGGAGGGACTATAGGAGACATAGAGGGTATGCCATTCATTGAAGCGTTCCGCCAGTTCTTCCATTTCCGTGTCAAGCGGGAGGATTATTGCTGTGTACACGTCAGTCTTGTTCCCCAGGTACGGTATACAGAAGGAGTTAACATGGTCACAATCTTAATCTGGGAACAGATGTTTTGCATGTTCATTATAAATTTTAAATATAATCTAGCTGAAGAAAGTAAAAATGGTTTAGATTTGTTTCACTGTTATTTATGGAGATTGTTTTAATTTCTTCAGCCAGGAACTACAGGAGAACAAAAAACCAAACCAACCCAACAAAGTGTGAGAGAGCTGAGAGGTTTAGGTCTCTCCCCAGATTTAGTAAGTCAAATGTACAGTTTGATTATTTAGGTAAGCAGTGGCCAGTTGGTATACACTACCGAGGTAATCAAAATTGCAGATAATTGTGGCTTAATGTAATCCTGAATCAATTGTTATATTCTTGTGATGTCCACAGCAACATCTTATATATGGTATATTTGAGAATGGTCCAAGAAAAAAAATTTTTAGTGGACATGATATTTTGACACAGATGAAATATAATATAAAATGCTTATTCAAGTTTTTGGTCTTTCTGGTATTTATCATGCAAATGTTTTATTGTTAAGTATTCTTTTAGATTGTGTGTCGGTGTCAAAGTCCTGTGGCAGAAAGTGTTAAATCTAAAATCTCCCTGTTTTGTCATGTGGAACCCCAACAGGTATGTAAACAGTATCACCTGTAAAGTTATTAGAACCTGAACAGGTATGAAAGCTGTGCCACGTGTAATGTTATAAGAACCTCAAGAGGTATGATAAAACTCCAGTGTCTCCTGTAAAAGTATTCAGAACTCAACAATTATGATAAAGCTGTCACATGCATAGTTACTTACAAGATTCAGTATCTATAGCAAATAACTTTGCATCCCTGACATTCTCTCTCTTAACTGTTCAAAATTCATTCTAGCCTTATGGTTTCAGGAGTTGAATTAAATATCAAAGTTGTGTTGGTTTTTGTTAGATATTGTTTTTCCTTTATTTAGCATCATGAATACTTGTTTTGTAGGTATTTTCAATACATGATGTGTCATCTATATACCGAGTCCCCCTACTGCTCACAGAACAGGGTGTGTCTGAGTATCTCATGAAGCGGCTCCAGCTCAAGTACCCCTCCCCACACAATAATCGCTGGATGTTACGGTGGAAAGACCTCGCCAAAAGGTTGAGGCCTTAGAATTTTAAGCCCTATTAAAGATGAAAATTGAAGAATTTAACCCTAACCCTGTATTTATTGATAAACTATGGTTTTGCTAATTTTCATTGGGATCTAACTTTGTGGTTCTGGAAAAAAATAATTTCAATGATACATGTATGTGTATTTGTGGACAGCTGAATGTCAGAGTATAGAATAATTTATGGATAAGAAAAAATGTTTAATTTCTTGATCATGTAATGTTGCTATCTGGCTCAACCTTAAACATTGAAAATTGGTGTTAAAAAAACTTTTTGAAACCACTGCAAAAGTCAAAATGCTGTTTAAAACATACAGCAAAAGAAATTTAAATGTACAGCTTTTTAACAGAGGATTTCATTAGTAATAATCCTTTAATTGTGAATTATATTGAAGAATTCCATCATTGTTTCAGACATGATCAACTGTTGAGGGAGGTAACCATTGCTTTAGTGGGTAAATACACCCAGTTAGAAGATGCCTACGCTTCTGTCATCAAGGCTCTACAACACAGCGCTCTGTGTGTCAGCCACAGACTTAACCTCAGGGTAACTAAATAGGCCTGGGGGCCATAGAGTGAGACTGAGATCAAAAGTGAGCTCGTCTAAGTTTTATGACACCCAGGCCAGCTCATTCAAGTTTTTTATTGACTTTGAGCTTTACAACAATCATACAAGTGTATTTATGAATTTTTTTATGACACCCAGGCCAGCTCATTCAAGTTTTTTATTGACTTTGAGCTTTACAACATTCATACTAGTGTATTTATTAATTGTACAGAGAATAACATAAGCATGTAGAGGTTTTTAACTTCTATATATGATCTAATCTGGCTTCTAAAGTCTTTAACCAAAAACCTGTAGGCTTTTGTAAGTTACATTCAAAGTAATTTGCTATAATAGATGATAAAACAGTTACATTTTTGTTTCAGTATATAGAAGCAGCAGACCTGGAGATGGACATGCTGAAACAAAATCCCTCCAAGTACCACGAAGCCTGGCATCAACTGGTGTCTGCAGAGTACGTATAATACTCAGCACTGCATGATTATGACAGGCTTAATGTAGAAGTGTTAATAAGCTATGTTAAATCATTTACTCTCTGTAAGACATTGAAAAACTGAAGACCTTTTGAAAACCCTAAAATATTAATGGTTTGCATACAATTTTTCCTTTAAAAATGTACTAAAGTGGGGAAAATAATTGTAAAAAATGAGGTAAAAACAGTGTGATTGCGAATGACTTACAGGTATTTTTCTAGGGGTATTTTCATTGTAATATATTTTTGTCCTTGACAGTGGAATACTTGTGCCAGGTGGATTTGGAATCAGAGGGACAGAGGGGAAAATACTGGCAGCCAACTGGGCAAGAACAAAAAATATACCCTTCTTAGGTATGAATAAATTTTAATAAATTATTAATTGAATAATAAAAAAAAAAAAAACATTCAAGGAAGAATGATCCTTCATTTTAATGGTACTTGTCAGTAAAAATGGGAGTTCTGTAAGAGATCTATATAACTCAGAACAAATTTTTTGTTCATATATTCTTTGCTAGAGTAGTCTCCCTTTGCAGAGGACATCCTTTTAATGTATTGACATATAGGGTGAATTCACCATGCATCGGACACATACATGTACCTTGCATCGGACAACTTTAGACAATAAACTCTCTTTCAACTTAAGAGTTCCCTGTATTTATTTGTTTCTGTCTTGAAGCTGAAGACTTAAATTTTTTAATGATACCGATTGTTATTATCATGCTGTGATAAAAATACCCCGAGAATGGCCTTGGAGTTACGTCATATTTTACATCATCAAAGGGGAACAACCAGAAATTTATGATTTTGCGATTTCTAGAGTTATCGTTCTTATTTCGACTTCAACGGAACGAGGCAGACTTTGGTGAATAAAGTCAAAGATAAATAATTTTACATAAATTTTTAAGAAATTTCACTTCAATGTTCGTATAATTCTTTTAAGAGCTGGTTTTAACTAGTATGTTCATTTCTCCGTACATCGGACACAAATTTACCATGCATCGGACACTTTCCGAAGCAAAGGTAAGCACTACCATTTTCATACAGAACCCAGCTGATAGCTGTTTTTTGCGGAAAAAGAAAATAAAAACTCTATATTTTCAGTCAAAATACAAGTTATCGATATATGACGCCTGGAATTTGACTCAATTTATTTCTACAAACCAGAGTACGATAAACCATGTAAAAAAGGCGCGAATTACCGTATTATAAGCATTTTAAGCATTTTTAAGGCAGAGTGAGGTCTCTTGAATCATTCTGCTTTTGTGCAACGATATCGTCAATTAAATTTAAATTGAGGGTTAATTCTTAGATAAAAGATAAAAATATATCCATATCAAGGATTTTAAAGCACTTTAATAAAGGTATGATATTTTTACGGTCAAAATACCGTCTGTCTGATCCATGGTAAGCAATGTCCGATCCATGGTGAATTTTGAGTTATTCCTAAAAATTCGATTTTTGAGGATATTTTCTAAATAAAGGGCATATAATTGTGTCCCAAATTGATATTTTGATCACAAACTAAATGTTAAACTCCATTTTGATAATTTTCCATCGGTAGCGATATCGCTAGAACTTGTTGAAGTACAAGGGTATCCGATGCATGGTGAATTCACCCTACAAGAAATATTTATATAGTACCACATCAGATGATATATTTATATCTTGGTTGTTTTCAGGAGTGTGCCTTGGGTTGCAGTGTGCTGTGATTGAGTTTGCTCGTAATGCACTCGGCTGGGAGGGGGCTCATTCCACAGAACTGGATCCTGCCACTAAATACCCTGTGGTCATTAGTTTACACTTTACACTGATTTAAGGGAGGGGCATCAAGCCCCCCCAGACAAAATCAGTGCACTTATATCTTGCTTAAAATAAGATACATGTATTTATGCCCCCCTTCGAAGAAGGGAGGGCATATTGCTTTGCTGTTGTCTGTCGGTCGGTCTGTCGGTCCACTTAGTTTCCGTTCATTTTCTTCACAACCATTGCACATACTGAAATGAAATGTAGTATGCAGATATATCAGATGAATATCTAGGCCAAGTTCTGTTTTGGGTACGATTGCGCCATTTTTGACAGAGTTATGCCCTTTGGACTTAGAAAAATTTCATTTATTTGCAGTTTCCGTTCATTTTCTTCGCAGAGGTAGAACATACTGAAATGAAATTTTGTATACAGAATTATAAGATAAATATCTGTAGGTCAAGTTTTGTTTTGGGTACTATAGCGCCATTTTTGACAGAGTTATGCCCCTTGGACTTAGAAAAATTCCAATTATATGCAGTTTCCAGTCATTTTCTTCGCAGAGGCTGCACATACTGAAATGAAATTTAGTATATAGATTTATCAGAAAAATGTCTAGGTCAAGTTGTGTTTTGGGTAGGATCTCACCATTTTTGACAGAGTTATGCCCTTTTGGACTTTGAAAAATTTCAATTTGGGGGAGGGGGGGGCATAAGTGTTTTACAAACATCTTTTGTTCATGTCTGTCATTTGTCTTGTAGAGGTTAAACTTTATACAGATATCGTACAAAATTTACATGCACCTTGAAGCATTGTTCTATAATACACATTCACAAAGCTTGTTACAATATTTACTTATTTCACGACTTTGTATTGAGATGTACACTCATAGATCATATTGTATGGAAAGACACTAGATTCTGTGACATTTTACACAATATATCATTACACATCAATCTTGTCGTATTAGTACATGTTAAGTATAACACTTTGTCTGCTTTGATTGAGGGTGGAGTTATTGGTCATTAAGATCATTTATACAACAGGTAATTGACATGCCAGAACACAATACAGGACAGATGGGCGGAACCATGAGACTAGGAAAACGCAAGACTCTCTTCAATGCCAAGACCTGTATAACAAGTAGGAGTTTCATCATTAAATTATGTTAATTTAACAGTGATTTGAAAAGGAAAGATTATAGGTAGCATTTTAAGGATATTTTCATATTTTGCTAAGTTTAAAAAAAAATGTTTTAAGCTTGACATTCTTTGTAATCTTCAAAGCATTTGATTGTATAAAAATTAGATACATGCATTTACTTGTTGCAGAAAAGTTGTATGGAAATAAAGAATATGTTGAAGAGAGACATAGACACAGATATGAGGTAAATATGTCATTATCATTGTGAAGACTTCATTTACAGATGTGACCGTTGGAAGGGAATGCTCAATCCTCCAATGCACCTAATCCCACCTCTGATGTTTTAGAGGCCCAGAAAAGATAATGAGTTGCTACAACATATGATAATAACCTTTTCCATTATTTTAATTCAGGTAAACCCTAAGTACATACAGACCTTTGAAGATGCTGGGATGAAGTTTGTTGGTCGCAGTGTGGATGGAGAGAGAATGGAAATTATGGAATTAGATGGTAACATTGTTTTCACATTCTTACTTTCTTACCTGCTTTCAGGTGTTTTACTTGAAATATATGTAAAATTGTTAAATATTGTTATAAATTCGTAAATTTGATATATGTAAAATATGTTTGTATTTAATCCTTTGACAAGTCAATGATGCAGTACATGTATTAAAAACAGCTGTTGTAATTTACCAGTATATCATTTTGTTCCCCATATAGTAATGTGCTACATACACTTACTGTAAGTTATGAGCTTTATTGTGAGTTACCTCCCATATACAGGTCACCAGTACTTTGTTGGGGTCCAGTATCACCCTGAGTATATTTCCCGCCCCATGAAGCCCTCTCCCCCATACCTTGGCCTCCTGCTGGCTGCCACGGGAAAGATGCAGGCGTACCGAACACGAGGGTACAGACTGTCCCCCCACTTATCCTACAGCGAGGGAAATGACTCGGAGGACGAGGAAATATCAGAAATTGTCAAGAATCTCAGTACAGAGGATGCATTCGAAGTCTCAGCCAATCAAACGAGCACCAGTGAACAATCTTAATCATGTGTGTCAATAGCCATATCACGATAGTTTCCAAGTAATAATTTACATTCCCTTCATTGTCCTGGCATTATTTATGCTGATGAGTCTATATCATGTTGTTATTAGGTTCTAAAAGAGTTTTTTTTATAATTTTATAATGTAAATCACCATAAGACATGTTTGAATTATACTCAATTCATTTAAGGGTAAATAGAATGTGATTAAAGCAGAATGCAGCTGTTATGTGAAAACTTTTAAGCACACTGTTTATGTGCAAGAATTTTCATATCAAATCAAAGAGGTGAAATTATAAAGTCTGCATACTAAATACATGTATATGAAAGGTCTGAAAAAATATAGATAGAACAACCTGAGCTGCCCCTAATGGTTTTCTAAAGGCATTACTGTATATTGTCATAATTGGTGCAAAGTGCTATTTTGTTTTGTTCTGTTTTAATTAGGTGTAGCATGCTTAATATTTATATTAGTCTTGGAACACATTATTTAGTATTTATGTCATATACATGTATACATGCATACTGACATATCACATTCGACTGGATCTGTTTTTCTACAGGAATAATATAGGAAATTGTAGGTTCAGATGATTTGGTATAAACACTGCACACGAGCTTTTGGCAAGTAATTTGTTGTACAGAGATTTATACCGTGAGCATTAGGTACAAACTTACTGTAATGTAGGTATATGTACATGTACTAGTTTTGAAATAAGCTTTTTGAAGTGCATTTATTTGGGCATTATTTTAAAGAGATTAAAAACATTTATTTGCACCATATATCAAAATTCTCATTTATAAATACTTAATATTCTCCAGAAATAAATTTTACATACATGTGGAATAAAAAAAAATACTGTTTAAAATGAAAAAAAAAATACAGTACAGTTCATATTCAAAATGCATTTAAATGTTTACGGGTAGTCAGACCTTTATGTCATATCAGGTTTTGTGCTTCATCATAATACTATCCAGGATTCTTCTGTATTGTCATATACATATAAATTTTTTGTTGGATTTATAGTGTGATGTACACCATTCATTTAAATGTTGTCATATACTTAATCTGACCGTCAATTTCAATTTCATATACCCGAGAAAATTATTATCAATAATTTCCTGAAAAGCACCATTTGGGAAATCAAATCACTGGCTTTTATATTTTCATATGCTTAAAATTCCATGCAAAAACTTTGGATGAACAGTCCAATTGGTAAGTCATGATCAATCGATTTGACGTCTTCAAATCATTTTGCATTATCAAGTTAAATAAATTTACAGTAGTCTGCAAATGCACATTGTTATATTCTTAGGCATCTCCACAAGAACTGTTTCCCTAGGCCTCCTACAAATATTATACATGTACATGTATTCATATATGTTCCTTTGAAGTGTACCTTTGTTTTATAATGGTATTTATTTGATAAAAATGTGCATTTATGTTCATTTGTAAATATTTGTTCACGTAGGTACTAGAAGGTTTAAAATATGCTGCACTTTTCAGAAGTCCTTGATGTTTGCAGATATTATTTTAATGTTTAAAAGAAAACACATTTTTATATTTTTTCTCTTCTGTTAAATGAGCTACTTAAAAGTAATGCCTTAACATAAGGGTTTTAATTTAAGTGAAACAAGCAAATTCAAGGAATTGTGGTCCCCCGCTTTCGGTGTCTTTGTGGGTGAGATGTCATTTTTAATGACATATTGTGTTTAATATGAACGCCCTATCATATATCATTTATTTAGAAATCATCACTGAACTCCAAGGTCAAGGTCAAAGGGTTAAAGTGTTTAGTATCTGATGAACAGTCTTCTCACAAGGATTACATAGGTGAAGTATGAAAGCCTAGCCCTTGATGTTTGCAGATATTATTTTAATGTTTAAAAGAAAACACATTTTTATATTTTTTCTCTTCTGTTTTTTGTGGTCCCCCGCTTTCGGTGTCTTTGTGGGTGATATACGAAAAAGTATTCTCCAAGGTCAACTTCAAAAGGTCAAAGTTGTTGATGTCAAATGAAAGGTCTTGTCACAAAGAATACATATGTGAAATATGAAAGTCCTAGTATCTACTGTTCAAAAGTTGTGGCAAAGGTCATAGTTTTTGAAAAGTAGGCCAAACTCCAAGGTCAAGGTGAAAGGGTCAAAGTTTTTGATATCCAATGAAAGGCCTTCACACAAGGATTACATATATGAAGTATGAAAGCCCTAGCCCGTACCGTTCAAAAGTTATAGTCAATGTTAAAGTTTTTTCATAAGTTCGGAAATCTCCAAGGTCAAGGTCATAAGGTCAAAGTTGTTGATATCAAATGAAAGGTCTTGCCACAAAGAATATATATGTGAAATATGAAAGTCTTAGTATCTACTATTCAAAAGTTGTGGCAAAGGTCATAGTTTTTTAAAAGTAGGTCAAACTCCAAGGTCAAGGTGAAAGGGTCAAAGTTCTTGGTATCCAATGAAAGGCCTTCTCACAAGGATTACATATATGAAGTATGAAAGCCCTAGCCCGTACTGTTCAAAAGTTATGGTCAATGTTGAAGTTTTTTCATGTTCGGAAATCTCCAAGGTCAAGGTCAAAAGGTCAAAGTTGTTGGTATCCAATGAAAGGTCTTGTCACAAAAAATATATATGTGAAATATAAAAGTCCTAGTATCTCCAATTCAAAAGTTATGGCCAAAGTAAAAGTATGAAATTTTTTGTGTAAAAATGGGTCAAACTCCAAGGTCAAGGTCAAAAGGTCAAATTTGGTGGTACCCAAAGAAAGGTCTTATCACAAGGTATACATATGTGAAATATGAAAGTCATAGCTCCACTAAATCAAAAGTTATGGGCAAGGTTAAAGTTTTTGTGACGGACGGACAGCTAGACAGACTGACGGACAGACGAATGAGATTTAATGTCCCCTCACTTTCGCGAAAGCGGGGGACAAAAATGAAGGGAGAAAAACTTCAACTTTAAAAAATAATGTCTCAATGAATTGTCATAATGTTAGTTGTTGAAAATAAAGAAGTAAAATAATTTATTCTTCCTCATCTGTGACAAATGTATGATGAGTCAGTTCTCCTGTAAGCTGGAGGATACAACTCAACTCTAGCCTGAGGAAACCAATTTTTGACTGTAAAATATTTAGCCTTGTTTCTCTGAAGTAAGTTTAAGGTTTTAAGTTTGATGCATGGATAGTCTACACATCATATCAATAGCACATGGATCCTGACCGGACCTCAAGCTGAGGGTCAGATATTCAGATTGAAAGATGTAGGAATTATCACTATTCTTGAAAGACAGACAGATTTCTGAAACTTTTATCCAGAAGTAAACTTTACGTAGCACAGTTAAACTAAAAATAAGCAACAATAATCTGCTAGCCATATTTATTTCATTATACAGATTTCATAAGGCACCAACTAGCATTACACATTGTAGGAAGTAATCCAAACATGTATAGACTAGATGAAGATATTATTTTTTGAAGACATTTAAACATAAGTATTCTAAATCAATTTTTTAAACATTTTGTCATCATTTAACAAGTCTTGTTGCCTAGTATATGTCTGTAACTTGGAACATGTTTATATATACATGTATACATTAGTACCCAAAGCAAGACATACTTATATGGCTCAGAACAAACTTGGGATAATTTTTAACAAGATTGGATATACTGTACTTGTTCACTATATAATTGTCAACAAATAGATGGAATCTAAAATCAAAACACACAAGGAGACCTTTATAAAACATAAATATACATATAAATGGATTCATATTACTGGTAATAAGATCACAAAGTAATACTAGATGTTTCTTAATATGAAACATTTTAATAAGTTGTGAGAAAAAATGTTATGTACATGTATATCATCTTGATTAGTACACACACAGATCTACTGATTTGGAAGTGATTATGCACACAATGAAAACTAAGACTGTTATAGTTCATTATATGTAAACATAAGCTATTTATCTGTCAAATATTGTACTATAAAGTAGTTTCCATACAACAGCTTACAGTGTCTTTCAACCTAAAAATCAAGATGTCTACACTTGAACTGATTGACTGTTTAGTTTTATTAAGATATTCTAGAAGATTTTTTCATAACTCTTTTTTTTCATGACAAGGAGCACATGGTGGTGGGTGTGACTGGTAGAGAAAGGATGCTCACTCCTCCATGGCATCTAATCCCACCTCTGATGTTTTAAGAGGTCCATGTTTGGTCTCTTCCCAATTTGTATTGTTTCTACAGATTTTAAGTTTGATTACTGTTTGTCCATATTTCATACATAGTGGGAAGGCAAAAGTTTCCAAACACTGATCTCCAGCCAGGAGCAGCTGCCAATATTTGACTTGTACAGGTGATAAAGCTTATAAAATGTATAGATGTGTACTAGAAGGGGCAAAAATATAACAATCTTCACAAAAAACTCAAAACAGCTGTAGCTAATCATAAAATTGTAAAATTCAAGTAGATATGACCCTACTACCAACAACAAAATTGCAGATGATCATATTGTAAAACAAATAAATGTACAACAACATGCACTCATACATATATAAAATATGAGAATCTTATAACAATACCAATATAAACAAGAACATTAATACCTGATTGTTCAATGATTATTGATTGTTAAATTGTAGAATCTGAAAAATATAGCCCTAGAATAATACATAGCACTACTTTTTGGACGGGCCATTATGCTGTTGTTTGGAAGTTACCCGATAGTCATTCAATGTCCATAACTAATTAGCAAAAATGTCTCCCATGGGAATCCAGACGTTTTTGACCTGTACTGAGTGATACAGAAACTCCTCCCCCTGACCTTGTTCTGGGTCAGTCCAGTCCCGCACCAGGCCGTAATTCACCCATGTTCTCTTGACATTCTCTGCGGATGTGAACTCTACGAACTTTGACCCCTCCGCTGACCCAAAGTACCACAGTGACTGGACGTCCTGATGTTCTGTTAAGTACTTGGTCAAGTGGTCTCTGTCACCGGTCAGGATGTTGACCACACCTCCAGGTAGGTCTGATGTATCAAACACCTGTAGAGGAAATGTACATACAGGTTAATGTTGACTTTACTACTGCTACACAACTACAAAGAACACTCAGGTCAACTCTGTACATGTGAATAAA